AAAGAAAAAAAGAAGAAACAGATTAACAAAAGAAGGATGGAAATATTAATCATCGATGATAATTGTGTTTCTTTCTTTTTTCTTTCTTTCTTTCTTTCTTTTTCTTCTTTTTCTTTTATCGTTTAAATCGTTAGGGGTAGATCCTTCGAAAAAACTATTTATTGTAGATTTAGAATATATTATGAATCCGTCATAAATTTATCGCATAAATTGTATATTGCATTCTTCTTCTTCTTCTTCTTCTACTTCTACTTCTATTACTTCAATTTTTTTCTTCTATTTCTAATTCTTCCTTATTAAATATTATTATTTATTTATCAACGATATATATATTTAATTAATAAAAAGAAAAAAAAAAAAGGATGATTTTAATTTTAAGACCGAACTTTGTATATCTTTGTCAAGCGTAAAAAAAAGAAAAGAAAAAAAAAAAATAGAAGGAAAATAAGGATAACGCAAGGATTCACTTTTAAATTAGGTTTTGCTCGACCTTCTTTTTTTTTTTTCTCTCTCCGCCTTTCGCGGGCCGCATACGTTCGTTTCCTGCATCCCCCCCCTCCCCCCTCCCCCCCATACATTGGCGCCAATATTCAAATATTTTATTTATTAATAGATTTAATAAATTTTTTGTTTGAAATATTATTTAATAGTATTCAAACAAATAAGTAAGATTATTTTGTATTGCTTAATAATAATTGTATTTAAAATTTCTGGTGTCAAGGGTAGGATGGGAAGAGAGGGGTAGGGGATACAAATTACCTATAATCAATTATGGTTATTAATAAAAAATAATATAAGAAAAAAGAAAGGAAATAATGAATGATTGTGAAACATGCAGAGCCATAATTGAAGTCTTGTTGGGCCGCATGCGGACCGCGGGGGGCTCCTGGTTGAGTACAATTATATTAAATAATCAATCAATCAATCAATCAATCAATCTTTCGTAATAACTTTGTATTTTCTCTTTAAATCGAGACAAATAATTAGTCTCGATTATTATATGTTCGTAGACKTTAGTAAAAAATGATTAAATTCGTAAATGTTTTGTTATCCTTCCGATTATCGAATAATTAATAATCGTAATCTCTCAAATTGTCCTGTATGATATCATTAAAATACACACTAGTCAAAACGATACCCACTTTCTTTTTTTTATTCAATTAATTTAACATATAATATATGAATAATATCCTATTTGTTTTAACGGTAGTCTTTGAAAACCTCAGACAGTAGAGACGGTGTCTCTCAACTACCAACATCAGTGGATCGAATCCCAGTAGGATCCCTATTTTTTTTTTTAATGATATATTACAATATTATTATTATTGTTCATTAAAGATTTATTCAAATTATTATTTTGATGATATAATATATTGATGAAAAGGTATGTAAAAATTCAATTGTCTTTTCTTTTTCTCAGCGTAAAAATCATATTTTTAATCTCTCATTGACGATATAAAAACAAAACAATATCTTATTAGAAATATATTTATATATGATATATTATTAAATTTATATAATTACATAAACACGAAAATGTATAATAGTATCCTTGGAAAATCAAAAATAGATTCTCTCATTAACTTTTTCATTACTGTCATGCTTTGATACATGAGTATACATTTCATGAAAATTAATATAGTATACAACTCCTATATGGGTTGATAGTTCATAACATACAAGACCTTAGCATGTACGACCCTTATAACGGAAGGGTTAATAAAACTATTCCAAATTCATATATAGCATAGATACATATATATATATATATATATATATATATATATGAATAACATTTAGTAGCTATATATATCACATTTCTAAAAAAAAATTGATTTTTGTTCAAAGCAATTCGACAACATATTAGCCATTATTCGCTAATAATAATAATAATAATAATAAAAGATTGTGTCATGGACAATTAAACGTATGTATATCACTAGAAAGATTGAAACTTAGTATATACCTGTATTACCTAAAATCAATCAAAATGACTGCATTGTTAAAGAATTACTAATTATTTATACAATTATATATAAGAAGTTATTATTAAATATGAACAAGAGAAAATTTACTTTGTTAGAAAAAGAAAAAAGAAATAATTATATTCATTATTATTTGTACATCATATACCAAGCCCGCAGCTATCCCCACACACCGCTGTGCCTGGCTACGCTTTGTAATTTTTCCTCGATCATACTAATACTTATTGAACAACTGCAACTTATCATCAAATATACATTCAAATCAACAATTTATCATTTACTGTTATTTCGATACAGAACCGAACTGGTCTCATATAAGAAATTTACTCCAATTCAATAATAAAAAGTCATTTGATTATTTACAATTTTCTAAGCAATCAAAATGACTGCTTTTGGGCAGTACAGGTATAACACATATATATATATATATACATGAAATGAAGGAGAGGGGGGAAGGTAACTACAATTATTAATAAACGCATTTATATGTTGTACAAAAAGAAGGTCACAAAATTCTATGAAATTGTGTCATTATATATATATACATAACTTGATTTTTCTAATTGAAATGAAAAAGCAGTCAAAATGGCTGACTTCTTCCTTGGGCAATCTAGTGATATATATACACACTCTTGTTATCTAGAAGAAAAAAAAAACATAGACACACAAAAATAGATATTCAAAGTTGAAAATTATGTTGAGAATGATTCAAGGTATTCGTTGAAACGGTATGAACCGGATGCGAAGGTGCCGGGGTGTAAAGACTATGATGCGAATGTGATTTAGCTCTTGACAATTCACTGTAACGATCTTGTTCTGGTGGTGCTACTAATAGGACAGGTCTCAAGGACAAAGATTTACGTGATCCAGCCACACTTTGAGCCTCGTTTACATAACCCGGATTGACCTCTCCTGAAACAAATGCATTAACTAACTTTAATTTATCTTTAAAGAAGATACATAATTAAATAAGATGGAAATAAAGAAAATAAAATATGAAATATGAAATACGTTAAATTCGTAAAAATAATTAATTCAATCATAACCATAACAAGAGAGATGATATTTTAATTAAAGTATGAAATAGAAACATAATTACATATTTTAATTGTTTAAAGTATTTTTTTGTCAGGTGTACTTGAAAAATCGTGACTTGAGTTATGTGGGATACCCTGTATATATATGAATTCACGAGAATAATTGAAAATATGAAATATGAATTATTTGATTCGTAAATTTCAAATCCGATTGTAACGAAACATTGATTTTCAAAATACAAGAAGAAAAATAAAAAGAGATAATAATAATAAAAATAAGTAGAAGGATTATTGCAGGAAGAGATATAAACAGATTTTAAGAATTGATCAAATTTCAATTACATACTTAAAGTATTACATCATCATGAATTGATATATTAGATCATTAACCCTTTGCATTTCTATGTCGAGTGTGACTCGCCGTCAGTTTTTATCTCGGGAAACTTCTTTGTCGAGTCCCACTCGACGTTTGATTGATTAAACTGTGTTATTTTTTTTTTTTTGTTATAGTTCAAAAAGTAAATTTCAAATAAAAAAAAAAAACCCCATGTAAGATTGAAATATAATTCAAGTGCACAAAAGGGTGCAAAATAATTAAGCATGAAAAACGTATGAATTATTTCGATTTAAATACTTAATTATACTTAATTATTTCATAAAAACAATTAATGTTATACAATATATAATATAATATAATATATTGTGTGTTATATACTAAATTATATAGTTATAGTTATATTGATATAGTTATAGTGTTCTTCTTGTTTTTTTTTTTCTTCTTCTTTTTATATTATTTACCTAAAAATTCTTATAATCGTTTAACAAATTAATTAAAATATTAAACTTGAACGGTAACATTATTCTAACGAAATCTATATATCGCGTACCTTTGTACAAAGATCCATTGTTAAAAGGTTCCGGTTGTAATCTAACGTGTCTTGAGGCAAGAATGAAAGCGAGAGCTGCCAAGGTAACTGCATCGAGTGCAGCTATTGCAGCCAATGGTATTGCCCATCTAACAGCACACGCTCCTGGATTATATCTTAAAAATCAAAATACAAATTTTAATATCTCTGATTTATTCTTTTTCATTCACATTTTTTATTGGACAAAAAAGATAGTAAATAATTGTACCTGGACGAAGATGCACCACAAACGGCACGAATAGCTGGCGAGTCCCAACCAAGTGGATAAACGCATACACCAATTGCCATGCATATTGCTATAAATCAAAATCATTAAATTAGAAAAATATTATAGAATACGTGACAGAGAGGGGGGGGGAGGGGTGGAAGAAAAAAATATTAGGGTGAACCAAAAATTCGCATCGTTTATTGTATTTAATTCGGATAATGCAGCAATTTTTTTCAAATCAATTAAAATTTGTTATCTTATATTACGCAAGTGAAATTTTAATAATTCCTTGACATACACGAATTAAATGAAATAAAAATAAAAATTAATTAAATAATAATAATTATTATTATATATTATTAATAAAATTATTATTATTATTAATTATTAATATAATTCAAACGGTTGACGAGTCAGACTCGTCATTGTATATCAAGGTGTTAATTTTGGATAGTACAATTTTGTGGAAAGTCAATAACAAATTTTTTTCTTACTTCATAATTAAACGAGTAAAATATTAATTATGAATAGGCCAATGTGTTTCTAAGTCAAGACATTTTTTTTTTTGTAACTTTATATACTACGCAATTGAAATATTATTAAATTTAAAAACTTTTGCTATTCTCGTCACCTTTAAATAGATTCAAAATACTTTTGTTTTTCATTTCAAAAATTCAAACATCAGATCGCGTCTCGAATATAAAAATACAAAGAAGTCAAATTGGTTTTTCTTTTCTATTTTTTTTCTTTGTTTTTTATTTTGGTTTCTTTTTTCCTTCCTTTAATGCATTCTACATACATCACACAACCAACCAACTTACTTATTCGCATTTCAAATGGCAAAAACTTTCACCGAGAGATAGATAGAAAGAGAGAGAGAGAAAGAGAGAGCACATACCACCACAGACACAACAAAACACAACACATACAACAAAGAAGAACACACATTCAGAATATAATACTCGAATCTTTGTTAACTCCGGTGAGTATCTCGCAGTTGATGATGGGTGCTACGTTAACTGCATCCGATTACCAAACATGAATATAATCAATCTCATTTGAATTTTTTACTAATTCGTGAAAGTTACAAATACCAATCCAAACTTTACCACCCCTCCCCGCTACACCCCCATTGACTTTCTTTTCATCGTCTTTTATTTGTGTGATTCTACTTTTTATTATTATTATTATTATTTAAACAAAATATTAGACACAATTTCAAATCCAATTGATTTTTTTAATCGTTGTGTGGTTGTTATTATTATTGAAGAAAACAAACCAATAGACGGGGCCGGGAGAGGGGGAGGGGGCAGCAATAATAATTTGGGAATAATCACGCGATGAGAAGAGAAACAAAATAAAAAAAATAGAAATATTCATTTTTAAAGAAGATTATACTAATGTTACCCCCTCCCCTCCCGCCCCGACCCCTTACCCACTACTCTATTAATAATGTGAGACCCAATGAGAAGCTTATTTATGTTAATAGTCTAAGGCGTATCCAACGGTACATATATTTAACAACACACACAAATACATAATATACGTTAAACACGACACACATGCATGCATGCATACATTTTACATAAATATAAACGATGGCCTTTTACACATTATAACGGACTATTCTACATTTCCATCAACTCTATCCACACACGCCATGAATGGTATATATAAGTTTCTTATCTTATAAACCCGATGCACGTTTTGAAACCGGATTCTATGTGAAAAGACTTTTAACATTTTTTTATATATGTATAAAATTAGAGAGACGGATAGAAGGTAGAAATAATAAGTTGATTACGTCATTAGTAATTGTAAACTCTCTCACAACGAATGTGATTGTATAAGTGCGAACACTATAGCATAAGAAGAAGAAGAAGAAAAATATCGTAATTACTTCTTCTTCTTGTTTTTCTTTTTTTTTGTTAGGATGCTTCGTTCTGTTGTAATGTTTTTTTTTTTCTTTTCTTTTTTTCTCCATTTTTTGTTGTTTTTCTATCGTACTTTCTAATGTATTAATATCTATATATATATATATATATATCAATATAATATAATATATTAAATATAATATATTATATTATATATATATATATATATATATAATATAATATATTATATTTAATATATTATATTATATTGATATATATATATATATATATAGATATTAATACATTAGAAAGTACGATAGAAAAACAACAAAAAATGGAGAAAAAAAGAAAAGAAAAAAAAAAACATTACAACAGAACGAAGCATCCTAACAAAAAAAAAGAAAAACAAGAAGAAGAAGTAATTACGATATTTTTCTTCTTCTTCTTCTTATGCTATAGTGTTCGCACTTATACAATCACATTCGTTGTGAGAGAGTTTACAATTACTAATGACGTAATCAACTTATTATTTCTACCTTCTATCCGTCTCTCTAATTTTATACATATATAAAAAAATGTTAAAAGTCTTTTCACATAGAATCCGGTTTCAAAACGTGCATCGGGTTTATAAGATAAGAAACTTATATATACCATTCATGGCGTGTGTGGATAGAGTTGATGGAAATGTAGAATAGTCCGTTATAATGTGTAAAAGGCCATCGTTTATATTTATGTAAAATGTATGCATGCATGCATGTGTGTCGTGTTTAACGTATATTATGTATTTGTGTGTGTTGTTAAATATATGTACCGTTGGATACGCCTTAGACTATTAACATAAATAAGCTTCTCATTGGGTCTCACATTATTAATAGAGTAGTGGGTAAGGGGTCGGGGCGGGAGGGGAGGGGGTAACATTAGTATAATCTTCTTTAAAAATGAATATTTCTATTTTTTTTATTTTGTTTCTCTTCTCATCGCGTGATTATTCCCAAATTATTATTGCTGCCCCCTCCCCCTCTCCCGGCCCCGTCTATTGGTTTGTTTTCTTCAATAATAATAACAACCACACAACGATTAAAAAAATCAATTGGATTTGAAATTGTGTCTAATATTTTGTTTAAATAATAATAATAATAATAAAAAGTAGAATCACACAAATAAAAGACGATGAAAAGAAAGTCAATGGGGGTGTAGCGGGGAGGGGTGGTAAAGTTTGGATTGGTATTTGTAACTTTCACGAATTAGTAAAAAATTCAAATGAGATTGATTATATTCATGTTTGGTAATCGGATGCAGTTAACGTAGCACCCATCATCAACTGCGAGATACTCACCGGAGTTAACAAAGATTCGAGTATTATATTCTGAATGTGTGTTCTTCTTTGTTGTATGTGTTGTGTTTTGTTGTGTCTGTGGTGGTATGTGCTCTCTCTTTCTCTCTCTCTCTTTCTATCTATCTCTCGGTGAAAGTTTTTGCCATTTGAAATGCGAATAAGTAAGTTGGTTGGTTGTGTGATGTATGTAGAATGCATTAAAGGAAGGAAAAAAGAAACCAAAATAAAAAACAAAGAAAAAAAATAGAAAAGAAAAACCAATTTGACTTCTTTGTATTTTTATATTCGAGACGCGATCTGATGTTTGAATTTTTGAAATGAAAAACAAAAGTATTTTGAATCTATTTAAAGGTGACGAGAATAGCAAAAGTTTTTAAATTTAATAATATTTCAATTGCGTAGTATATAAAGTTACAAAAAAAAAAATGTCTTGACTTAGAAACACATTGGCCTATTCATAATTAATATTTTACTCGTTTAATTATGAAGTAAGAAAAAAATTTGTTATTGACTTTCCACAAAATTGTACTATCCAAAATTAACACCTTGATATACAATGACGAGTCTGACTCGTCAACCGTTTGAATTATATTAATAATTAATAATAATAATAATTTTATTAATAATATATAATAATAATTATTATTATTTAATTAATTTTTATTTTTATTTCATTTAATTCGTGTATGTCAAGGAATTATTAAAATTTCACTTGCGTAATATAAGATAACAAATTTTAATTGATTTGAAAAAAATTGCTGCATTATCCGAATTAAATACAATAAACGATGCGAATTTTTGGTTCACCCTAATATTTTTTTCTTCCACCCCTCCCCCCCCCTCTCTGTCACGTATTCTATAATATTTTTCTAATTTAATGATTTTGATTTATAGCAATATGCATGGCAATTGGTGTATGCGTTTATCCACTTGGTTGGGACTCGCCAGCTATTCGTGCCGTTTGTGGTGCATCTTCGTCCAGGTACAATTATTTACTATCTTTTTTGTCCAATAAAAAATGTGAATGAAAAAGAATAAATCAGAGATATTAAAATTTGTATTTTGATTTTTAAGATATAATCCAGGAGCGTGTGCTGTTAGATGGGCAATACCATTGGCTGCAATAGCTGCACTCGATGCAGTTACCTTGGCAGCTCTCGCTTTCATTCTTGCCTCAAGACACGTTAGATTACAACCGGAACCTTTTAACAATGGATCTTTGTACAAAGGTACGCGATATATAGATTTCGTTAGAATAATGTTACCGTTCAAGTTTAATATTTTAATTAATTTGTTAAACGATTATAAGAATTTTTAGGTAAATAATATAAAAAGAAGAAGAAAAAAAAAAACAAGAAGAACACTATAACTATATCAATATAACTATAACTATATAATTTAGTATATAACACACAATATATTATATTATATTATATATTGTATAACATTAATTGTTTTTATGAAATAATTAAGTATAATTAAGTATTTAAATCGAAATAATTCATACGTTTTTCATGCTTAATTATTTTGCACCCTTTTGTGCACTTGAATTATATTTCAATCTTACATGGGGTTTTTTTTTTTTATTTGAAATTTACTTTTTGAACTATAACAAAAAAAAAAAAATAACACAGTTTAATCAATCAAACGTCGAGTGGGACTCGACAAAGAAGTTTCCCGAGATAAAAACTGACGGCGAGTCACACTCGACATAGAAATGCAAAGGGTTAATGATCTAATATATCAATTCATGATGATGTAATACTTTAAGTATGTAATTGAAATTTGATCAATTCTTAAAATCTGTTTATATCTCTTCCTGCAATAATCCTTCTACTTATTTTTATTATTATTATCTCTTTTTATTTTTCTTCTTGTATTTTGAAAATCAATGTTTCGTTACAATCGGATTTGAAATTTACGAATCAAATAATTCATATTTCATATTTTCAATTATTCTCGTGAATTCATATATATACAGGGTATCCCACATAACTCAAGTCACGATTTTTCAAGTACACCTGACAAAAAAATACTTTAAACAATTAAAATATGTAATTATGTTTCTATTTCATACTTTAATTAAAATATCATCTCTCTTGTTATGGTTATGATTGAATTAATTATTTTTACGAATTTAACGTATTTCATATTTCATATTTTATTTTCTTTATTTCCATCTTATTTAATTATGTATCTTCTTTAAAGATAAATTAAAGTTAGTTAATGCATTTGTTTCAGGAGAGGTCAATCCGGGTTATGTAAACGAGGCTCAAAGTGTGGCTGGATCACGTAAATCTTTGTCCTTGAGACCTGTCCTATTAGTAGCACCACCAGAACAAGATCGTTACAGTGAATTGTCAAGAGCTAAATCACATTCGCATCATAGTCTTTACACCCCGGCACCTTCGCATCCGGTTCATACCGTTTCAACGAATACCTTGAATCATTCTCAACATAATTTTCAACTTTGAATATCTATTTTTGTGTGTCTATGTTTTTTTTTTCTTCTAGATAACAAGAGTGTGTATATATATCACTAGATTGCCCAAGGAAGAAGTCAGCCATTTTGACTGCTTTTTCATTTCAATTAGAAAAATCAAGTTATGTATATATATATAATGACACAATTTCATAGAATTTTGTGACCTTCTTTTTGTACAACATATAAATGCGTTTATTAATAATTGTAGTTACCTTCCCCCCTCTCCTTCATTTCATGTATATATATATATAT